GGTCTAAGATCTTTCAAAAAGAAATTGTATCAAAGTCAACTAGTGGATGCAAGGAGGATCAAACATGTAGGAATAGGAGACTATAAATTTTAATCCCTTGTACATGCAACATACTCTAGGTTGGATTATATAATGATAGAATATAGACTATTGGAGTCGCTGATTAAATCCAATATTGAAGTTACATCATTATCAGACCATGCTCCTGTCATGATGAGATTGAAAGTGAGTGGGGTGCAGAATAAAAGATACGCTTGGAAACTAAATGAGACACTCATCCAAGATCAAGAGACAGAAGTGAGAGTACGGGAGGAAATAGAGCAATATTTTTTAGCAAATGAAACGGTGGGAGTCTCAGTGGCCACAGTATGGGAAGCACATAAGGCATATATAGGGGGTATCCTGATTGCTATAGGTGTGGAAAAAAAGAAAAAGAGGGCAAAAAGGATAAAAATATAAATAGAGGAACTACATGTACTGGAACAGTTACATAAAAAGAGAACAGAAACTGAAGTACAACATATGATTATTATAAAGAGAGAAGATGTAAGTAATCTATTGGAACAAGAAACAAATAAGGTTTTAATATGGTATTGAGAGAAAGATATCAGTGGGGGAATAGACTGGGAAAATGTCCAGCAAGGTCAGAGAAAAGAAATCAATACATTTTATAGAGAAAATCAGGAATGAAAAAGGAGAATTAGTTTACCCAACTAAAGGAATTGCTAGTGTATTTCAAAAATATTATCGTTCCTTATATGCAGTTAGACCCAAGAATAAAAATCTGGAGGGAGATAGAAATATAAATATCCAGAATTATTTAAAAGCGACTGGACTACCCAGATTGGACAAAGAAAGGTTGGCATTGTTGTAAAGACCGATAACCCAGGAGGAAATACAAGTTGCATTAAGGAGTACAGCAGCAAGACAGAGCCCAGGACCAGATGGATTCACAGTGAGATATTATAGGAAATTTAAAGAACTATTAGTGCCAAAAATGGGTATTTACATGAACGCATTGGGAGGAGGAGTGCAAATGAGGGAAGAGTCGTTGATGGTACATATCACAATATTGCCTAAAGAAGGCAAAGATTTGTTTCAATGTGCCAGCTGCAGACCAATCTCATTATTAAATGTAGATATGAAACTATATGCAAAAATTATTGCTAGTAGGTTGAAGGATTTAATGCCAGAGCTGATACACCTAGATCAGATTGGGTTTAAACCAGGAAGAGGAGGTAGAGATAATGGATTGAGATCTTTATTGCTCTTACAAAGGGAGAAGTCCCCAGTTATAATCCTGTCGATAGATGCAGAAAAAAGCATTCGACAGGGCAGATTGGGAATTTATGAAGAATAGGTGATAGGATTAGGGCCAAAAATTCTTCAGTGGATAAAATCTTTATATTGTCATCTGCCAGCAGCAGTAAAGATGGATGGTACATTGTCGGAATCTTTTGAGATGTACAACGGAACGAGGCAGGGATGCCAACTCTCACCTTTCTTGTTCGTGTTAACCTTGGAGTCTCTTCTAGCAACGATACGGAAAAGTGTAGATATAAAAGGAATTCAGATAGGAGAAGTAGAACATAAAGTGGCAGTGTATGCCGACGACATGTTATTTTACATGGTAAAATCGGTAAAAAAGCCAAATTTAATGCAAGCTTTAATATATTGTGGAGAACTTTCACAGTTTAAAATTAATTTAGCAAAATCAGAGATTTTAGATATCAATATATCGAAAGTAGAAAGACAAGTATCACAAGAAAAATATCCTTTTAAGTGGCAGGATAAGGAATTAAAGTATCTAGGAGTAAAGTTAACACCATCAAACAAGAGTATATATCAAGCGAACTATATACCACTACTGAATGAAATAAAAGAGGAGTTGAAGACAATTTCAAAAGGATTTTTGTCCTGGATAGGCCGAATTAATATTGTTAAAATGGTGATACTCCCTAAAATCTTGTATAAATTTTAAATGCTTCCAATTTATTTTCCGCAGGTGTATTTTAAGGTTCTAAAAGGAATGATAATGAGATATATATGGGTAAATAAAGGTCTTATGTAAAGATAAAACAAACGGGGGGCTAAATATGCCAGAGATTAAAAGATATTTCTGTGCAGTAATTTTATCATGAATAATGGAATGGGTGTATAATCCACAAGGGAAAAGTTGGGTAGGGATTGAATTAACACAATTATATAAAATTATTTGGGTTCCACAACAGTATCCAATGTTTTCTGAAAATACTAGAACTTTAAGTAAGAATGTAATTACAATATGGGATGTGATGCACAAACAAAATAGGAGTATAATTCACCACTAATACCACTGGTGGGAATTAATTATTTCCCACCAGGGATGAGCACTATAGTAGGAACATGGATTATGGACAGGAATGCACGGTTAATGGATATTATGAAGGAAGGGCAGGTAAACACTTTATCGGAGTTGAAACAGAAAAAGGAAATGTTTCAGACTATGGATGAATGGCAGTTCTACCAATTGAGACATTTCGTTGTATCACTCCCACGACCACTGAGAAAGGTGAACAATTTGTATCCATTAGAGCAATTATTGAATTTAAAAGGAACAAAAACATTGCACTGCGTGCATTTACAGGACACTTTCTACTATGGCCTAACCTTTTGTACCACTGTATATGGGTAAATGGAAAAAAGAATTGAAAACACAGTTGTGTGAGCAGCAGAGTAAAAATTTTTTAGGATTGCACATGGGGTTGTTGATATGAACACAGTGGAGATGAACTATAAATTTATAGCAAGATGGTATATTACACCCAGTAGAGCTCATAAGTCACATCCAGAGAATTCACTGTTATGCTGGAGGTGATGTGGGAAGGAGGGAAAAATGGTACACATATGATGGGAGTGTCCCAAAATACAGGAATTTTGGAAGGATGTAGTTCAACAAATATGAGAAATTATAGGTGAGGAAATATCTAAAGACCCATGGGTGTGCTTATTCCATAACACTGACCTTACAGTAAAACAATATAAGAATACAATGATACCTCATTTAATCAATTTGACAAAAGGGTTGATCCCTAAGTTTTGGAAGACCCCTAAGTTAAAAGACTAGATAAAGAGGGTAGAATATATACAAAGACAGGAAGATTTATATTATAGTGTTGAAGATAAAATGGGTAAATTCAGAACAATCTGGAAAGGATGGAGAGAATTTAAATCTATAAAGAGGTTCGTTGAGTTGATGGTATAGAAGAAAAAAAAGAAAAGAGGAATGAGTAGGGAAATAGATAGTGATAAGAGGTTGGAGGAGAAATGAAGATGTTAAAATGGAACACTAGAGGAATGATAAGAAATGGAAAAAGGGAGGTCTTGGGGGTGGGGTGGGGTGGGGATATGATAAGTGGTTTTGGAAAAATTTGTAATAAATTGTAGATGATTATGTATAAAAAATGTTTTGGATTTTTTAAGTTGCAATTAATAAAAATAAATAAATAAATAATGTAAAGTAAGTAAAGTCAGAACCTCTATGTTTTTATTGCTGTCTGTGTCCTCATTGGGTATAAACTATTATCCTGGTGACACTAAGATGAGAAACAAAAGGGTTAGTGCCGCTGTGATAGAAATATTCAGAAAGCAATAAAAACCAAACAGGTGTTCTAACCTCTATGGTACCTACTAATTAAATATGCATTTGTTGCTGTCTCCTCATCAGGATGATGTTCTATTTCCTCCTATCCTTGTGACACCCTGCCACCAGAGTGGGAAGTGATGTTAAATCTACCCAATATGGAAATAATAATTATTACAATCTATCCAGCACTTTAGGTAGATCTGTGGGAAGAGCCATTTTCAGACAAAACATTTTTGGGTCCAGGTCTTGACAGTTCCATCCTCCATCCAGGACAGCCCCCAGATATTTTAGGGTCTGGTTTGCAGGAAATATTTAATTAAATTCTATTGTCATTATGAACATTTTCTTCTGGTTCTTAAGAATTATCTTCTGGTTTATATCCTTTCAAATGAAACAAATACAAATTCTTCACCTTGTACATCTACACATTTAGACTAACATAGAAGGTAGAATATGCACCTTTAAGGTGGCCATACACAATACAATCTAACTGGACAAACCTAAGCAGTTTATTTACATAGTATATAATCAGTAAGGCCCTTGCACTACCTAGTTACTATAGTTAATGGTAGATCTAAAGGAGATTGTGCAATACGATTGTAGAGTATAGAATTTTTGATAGCTAGCTAGACATCATCACCTATGTGAAAGGTAGGAAATGCTCTACACTGTCTGTCAGTAACCTTTTTGTAATTTCTCAAAAGTATACTTTAGTGTCTCAATTATGTTCTCCTGTAAGGCTGTTAGTCATTTGGTTACAACAGAAATTTGAGTTTAGATAGTGAGGTTAGGAAATCAGTGTGATAACCTGAGTTCAAGTACAAAGGGCTTTGAAAAGTTGAGCTGTGCTTAAGAATTGGTATAAGCATTCTACTTTTGGAAGATAGTCCACCCAGTCCCTCTGAAGATAATGCTTTAAGGTTTGATTGGTCCTCTCATTCTGACCTTTAGATTGACGATGAAAGTGAGAGGACAAATTAACTGCAACAACTAGGGCTGTGCAAAAACTTTGAGGTGAACTGTTGTAAGGGATTTCTGGCAAAAAGAATCGTGTTCGGGAACGCGCAATGCGCAAAAAAGATTCCGCAGAAGAGCTGCCAGTTGTGCGCAGGAGCACAGGAATGCGCGATCGAGCACATGCACGCACACGTGCACACGCACGGCGAAGATTGGCACCAGACGGGCTATTTAAAGAGGGTTCAGTGCTGACTGGCCTTCAGCTCCCCCCTGTGTCCTGCTTGCTCCTGTACAAATTCCTTGTTGCTAACCCGGCTTGTTCCTGACCCGACTCCGATTACTCTCCTGCTCCTAATTCCTGCTCTGCTCATGACTTTGGCTTTTCCTACTGATTCTGCACCACGCTGCCGGACTGTTGATGACCCTGGCTATCCTATGACCCTGCTCCTGTCCTGTGTCCTGGCTACCTACATTGCTCTGCTGCACATCAGGCATTACCCAGAACCTGCTCTGTCTGCTACTACGGTACTCAAATCAGAGAATACTCTGCCTACCAAGGTCATCACCTGCAAGAGCTGCAAGCAACAACCACTGGCGCTCTTGTCCCCCTGGTCCATAGACTCCCTCTGTTCCAACCTCAGCGGGGTCAGGGCTAGTGACACAAGTGAGGCCGACCTTGTCAATTCAGTCTCCTATCAGGTACGTGACAGTACCAGTCAGCCAGTGATGGAGTCTGAAAGGGAGGCCTCGCAACTGGGGGACATTCGCCAAGCAGTAACTACCTTGTTCAACGTGATGCATGAGTTACAGAAAAACTTTGAACACCTGGAGAGTAAACTGCGAACCAACTCTAATGTCCTCATAGACACAGACCTCATGACTACCTCACCCAAACAGAGACCAGTATAACCATTAAAGCCTCTGCTCTGCCGGAACCCCGGGTGCCTACGCCTGAGTTCTTTACAGGGGATCGCAGGAAGTTCAGGACTTTTCGTAACTACTGTGAGTTATATTTTTCCCTGCTCCCCAGGACCTTCTTGTCATCTAACACCAAGGTGGGATTTATTATCACACTCCTCAGAAATTAACCTCAGTCCTGGGCCTACCACCTCCATGAGTTACAGGCCTTAGCTTCTGTGGACCTATTCTTTACAGCGATGGCACAAATCTATGATGATCCCTTCCGGCGCCAAACCGCTGAAACAATGCTCAGTAAGCTACAGCAGGGCCAGAGACCTGTGGAAGACTATGTCGCCGATTTCCGCATCTGGAGTCCTGATACCCAGTGGAACGAGTCTGCTCTCCGCCATCAGTTCCGCCTCGGTCATTCCGAGAATCTGAAGGATGAGCTGGCCCGAGTGGGGGTGCCAACCAGGCAGAGCGAGAGGATTAATGGGAAGATCTTGATATGCTCTGAAATAGGGCCCTCTACAAATGTGGCATCATCAGCATCACTCACCAACTCCACTAGGAGAAGTTTCTGGAGACCGCAGTTATCTGCAGCGGAACGCCTTCGCCGGCAAAAGTCCAACTTCTGCCTCTACTGCGGTGATGCAGGTCATTTCGTGGCCACCTGCCCGGCCAAATCCCATAAGTCCTCTCCCAACTGTTTATACATGATGCACCCTCAAGGGGCAAGCCGGGCGCATCTCTCCTTTCATCTCGGGCTACAGCTGGCCGAAAGCACAATCATGGTCCCAGCCATCATAGACTCAGGTGCCTGTAGCTGCTTTATGGATGCTCATTTCGCTACGCAAAACCAGATTCCACTCCGTACCAAAGCACAGAGACTTGCAGTTCATCGGTCAGACGGATCTGGTATCAGTTCTGGCCCTGTAACACAGGAAACCGTGCCAATATTCTGCTACTCTACTTTGGGACACCAGGAACTCCTATGTTTAGATATCATTACCTCCCCGATTTTTCCAGTTATTCTCAGCATGCCTTGGCTAAGAGCCCACAACCCAACCATCAGTTGGTTGTCAGGAGAAATCTTCTTTACTTCAGAATATTGTCTGACTCACTATACCCCTAAAGGGACTAATGAGGCAACTCCTCTTCTCAGCATTCACTCTGATCCTGAAACCATGAAACTTGTTCCTGCAGTATATCACGAATATCTGGATGTCTTCAATAAGAAAAGTGCCAACTGCCTTCCTCCTCATTGCTCATACGACTGTCCTATTGAGGTCCTGCCCGGAGCCAAAATTCCTTTTGGTAGAATTTAGCCCTTATCCAAACACGAATTAGAGGTCCTCCAGGAATATATAAATGAGAGTTTGGAAAAAGGCTTTATTCGGCCTTCTACATCACCAGCAGGAGCCGATATCTTCTTTGTGGAGAAGAAGGATCACACTCTCAGACCTTGTATCGACTACCGTGACCTGAGCAAGATAACGGTAAAGAATTGCTACCCCCTTTGACTGATTCCCAAACTATTTCAAAGGCTGTGAGGAGCATGCTTCTTCTCAAAACTGGACCTAAGGGGCGCTTACAATCTAGTGAGAATTCGGGAGGGTGACGAGTGGAAGACAGCCTTCTGAACCCGATTCGGACACTTCGATTATCTGGTAATGCCCTTTGGCCTCTGTAATGCCCCAGCAACTTTCCAGCACCTGGTACATGATATCTTTCAAGACTATCTGGATCTATTCCTTATCGTCTATCTGGACGACATCCTGGTTTTCTCTAGTTCCATAGAAAGCCATTGGGATCACGTAAAGAAAACTCTGGATAGACTACGCCAGCATCGCCTGCACGCAAAAGCTGAGAAATGCGAATTCGAGAGGCAATCCATCCAGTTCTTTGGGCTTGTGATCACTTCTGAGTGCATCTCTATGGACCCCCAAAAGGTGTCCTCCGTTTTAGAATGGCCCGTCCCAGGAGACAGGAAAGCAGTGCAGCGCTTTATAGGATTTGCTAATTTCTATAGGAAATTTATCAAGAACTTCTCTGGAATCATCGCACCAGTAACGCAGCTTACCAGACATCATACCCCCTTTAAGTGGACTCCTGAAGCCCAAGTAGCCTTTGAGCGATTAAAGGCTATGTTCACATCCGCACCTATCCTGAAGCATCCGGACCCTGCTCTCGCTTTTGTCTTTGAAGTGGACGCTTCGGAGAACGCGGTTGGAGCCATATTATCCCAAAGACAGGGACTCAAATCCCTTCTGCACCTTGTCGCATTTTTCTCCCGGAAATTGAGTATTTCTGAAAGGAACTATGATGTGGGAGACAGAGAGTTACTCGCCATTAAGGCAGCATTGGAAGAATGGCACTATCTACTGGAAGGAGCATCTCATCCCATTCTCATCTTCACAGACCATAAGAATCTAAAGTACCTAAAACTGCAAAATGCCTCAGGCCACGACAAGCTAGATGGGCACTATTTTTGTCCCGCTTCATCTTCCATCTGACATACTGTCCTGGATCTAAGAATGGCAAACTTGGCGCACTCTCCAGTATGTTTCCCGACCCAGTTGTGCAGTCTGAACCCGACACAATCCTGCCTGCCAAAAACTTCTTACTCCTTCAGACAGACCTTGTCATGGAAATAAAAGAAGCCGTGGATGGTCATCCACCTCCCATGAATATGCACTTGCAATTAAAGGATGGTCTGTACTTCCACAAGGAATAGATCTTCGTGCCCGAAGAACTCCGGACTCTTATTTTCCAGAGATGTCATGACCATCCATTAGCAGGTTATTTTGGGATTCACAAGACTTCTGAGTTGGTTTTTCGCTCTTTCTGGTGGCCAAACACAGTAAAGGATTGCCAGGACTATGTGAGATCTTGCACAGTCTGCCTGAGAAATAAGTCTGATAAAGCTAAGACTTGGGACCTGTTGAAATCCTTGCCCGTACTGGAAAAACCTTGGAGCATGAGCTCAATGGATTTTATCGTCGAACTTCCACCATCTGAAGGATTTACCACTATCTTCGTAGTGATTGATCGCCTGTCTAAAATGGCTCACTTCATCCCCTTGAAAGGGACTCCGTCTGCCACAGAAACTGCCTCCATTTTCATCAAGGAAATCATAAGGTTACATGGCGTTCCCCTGAATATTGTGTCTGATCGGGGAGTGCAGTTTACATCCAAATTCTGGAAAGCGCTGTGTGAGGCATTAGAGATCAGGTTACGCTTCTCATCTGCTTACCACCCACAAATAAATGGACAGACGGAAAGGACAAATCAAACTCTGGAGCAATACCTCCAATGCTTTTCCTTATATTCACAAGATGACTGGGCATCACTCCTTCCATTAGCGGAATTCTCCTATAATAATTCCATCCATTCCACTACCAAGCAATCTCCTTTTTTCCTTAACTACGCATACCATCCCACCTTTCTTCCAGAAATACCAGTGGAGGCCGCTGTTCCGGCAGTACAAGAAAGGATGGAGTTCCTCAGGAGGAATGGCAAAATTTTACAAAAAACAATTTCTGAAGCTCAGACGAGCAACAAAAAATTTTTTGATAGGAAAAGAAGGGGTAACTTGGAACTGAAACAAGGGGATAAAGTCTGGCTATCCAAGGCCAATCTGAAATTAAGTTGTCCATCAAGGAAGCTTGGTCCAAGATATCTGGGACCATTTACTATCAAGAGAAAGGTGAACCCTGTAGCCTTTGAATTAGAATTACCTAGAAACTTGAAGATTCACCCAGTATTCCATTGCTCCTTGTTGAAACCGCACATCCCAAGTGGGTTTCCCAACTGGAATCCGGAAGCACCTGCACCATTGCTGGTCGAAGGGAATGAAGAGTATGAGGTTGAGGCTATCTTGAACTGTAGGAAAAGGGGCGGACAGACCCAGTTTCTCATAAAATGGAAAGGTTATGGACCAGAGGATAACTCTTGGGAGCCATCCACTAATGTTCATGCTCCGCGAATAGTTCAAGCCTACTCCGTCTTCACCCTAAGAAACGTGCCCTACTGGGCATCCAGAGGCTGCCTCTAAGGGGGGGGGGGGGGCAATGTAAGGGATTTCTGGCAAAAAGAATAGCGACCGGGAACGCGCATGAGAAAAAGAGATTCCGCAGAAGAGCTGCCGGTTGTGCACAGGCGCGCAGGAATGCGCGATCGAGCACATGCACGGCAAAGATTGGCGCCAGATGGGCTATTTAAAGAGGGCCTCTGCTCTGGTTCAGTGCTGACTGGCCTTCAGATCCCCCTTGTGTCCTGCTTGCTCCTGTACGATTCCTTGTTGCTAACCTGGCTTGTTCCTGACCCAACTCCGATTACTCTCCTGCTCCTGGTTCCTGACTTCGGCTCTGCTCCTGACTTTGGCTTTTCCTACTGATTCTGTACCTCGCTGCCCAACTGTTCATGACCCTGGCTATCCTATGACCCTGCTCCTGTCCTGTGTCCTGGCTACCTACATTGCTCTGCTACTACGGTACTAAAATCAAAGGATACTCTGCCTACCAAGGTCATCATCTGCAAGAGCCGCAAGCAACAACCACTGGCGCTCTTGTCCCCCTGGTCCCTAGACTCCCTCTGTTCCAACCTCAGTGGGGTCAGGGCTAGTGACACAAGTGAGGCCGATCTCGTCAATTCAATCTCCTATCAGGTACGTGACAACTGTACTCCTCTATCAGACAATATATTATCTGGGATGCAGTCTAAACATTTCCTAAACCATCAGATCTACAGTTTGTTAAGAAATAGGTACTTCTCATGTTGGGATAAAATGGGCCATCTTTTTTTTTTTTAAGGAATATTTATTGGGTTTTCACAAAACACAACATAGCAAAGTGGCAAGTACACATATAACATACACGTAACATCATATTAAACTTAAGAGGGTTATGATGTAGCAGCCATCAATCACATATTATAGTGAAAGGAGTTACGAGAAAACACTTGTATACCGTACAATAATGCCTGCTCCTGTGAGTAGAGGGATCCTGTAATGTAGGACTTCCACTTTTGGAGGTAATGAGCCTCTTTGGAGTTGGACGGAGAGGTGATTAGGTTAAGCCTGTAAGGCGTAATAGGGAGTTTGGATCTTGCTTTATGTCCGTTAAAGTTGGAGGACAGTTGGAGACCCATTTCCAGAGAATGGCCCTTCTTGCTATCAAGAGACAAGTAGATATCCAAGGCTTATTGTTTCTGAGAGTTGATAGTTGAGAGGGAGAGGATCCTGTAGGTGACTGTTCCATGTAGCGAAGAGAAGAAGTAGCGGATCATTGGTCAATTAGAAGGTGGTGATAAAGGTTATAAAGTTGATCACTTGCTTCCAGAAGGTGGATATAGCAGAGCAGAGCCAAAGTCTATGGTGCAGTGAAGGTTTGTGGCTACCACAAAGAGGCATGTGAGAGAGCCGGGTCAGTTCTCGAATAGAGACAGGGCATGTAGGCACGATGTAGGATCTTAAGTTGTTGTTCGTGCCAGAATTCGTTGAGATAAAGGGCACATCGGAAGTTGAAGCCTGATAGTAGTAGGTCAGCTGTAAACGCATTGTCAAAGTCTTTGACCCAGGATTTCACAGAGTTAGATGACTCGAAGGGTTTCGTGTACAGAAGATTCAGAGGTCTATATATGTTTTATATTTTGTATTTTTGAGAGTTTGCCAAGACATCTATTAATGTCGTATGAAATCTAGTGGATTTAAGTGGTGCAACGGCGTTGACAAAGTTATTTACTTGTAGCATATAAAAAAAATGGTGTGATGGTATGTTATAAGTTTGTAGGAGGTTGTGAAGAGGCTTTGGGGAACCCGTAGAGGTGTCATATAGGTGTTGTACCAAAGTTAAATCTTGTGCGAACCAGGTTTCATAGGCAGCATAAGATTGAGGAGGAGAGAAGAAGGGATTATGATGGATAGGAAGGAAACAAGAGAGCCACGTAGAGACTCCCAACTTAGGTCTGACTGCCCGCCATGTAATAAGGGTATCGCGAATGAGCGAGCTTTGTTTTAGATGGGATGGGAGGCAGCCTATATTTGAATGTAGGAGGACTGTGAGATTGAAAGGATGTGCTATAGCAGACTCAATGTGTTAGTTGGAGTATTTGGAGGATCAGGTGAGCCAGTCTAGGCAAATACGAAGCAGACAAGAAAGGTTGTATACTTGTGCATTTGGAAGGCCGAAGCCTCCTTCGCTTTGCGGGCAGAAATAATTTAGAAAGTGCTATGTGCGGATGTTTGCCCTTCCAGAGAAACTTTGAAATTGCCCGGTTTAACTTCATTATGTCACTGTGTCTAATGAGGAGATGTATAGTCTGGAGCCATAGAGACGTTTCAGGAAGCTCACCATCTTATTATTCTCCAATAATTTTACTAATCGTGGGCGTATAGTTAAGCTTGTTTAGAGATTATGCTAATTTCCCTATCTTTATGCCTATGTATGTGATGTGCTTAGTAGCTATTTTAAATATCAAATTTTGGGACCATACAAGAGGGCGGGTATGGAATAGTGGAAGAACCTCACTCTTAGAGAAATTTATACGGAGCCCTGAGCAGAGGCGGAAGGCTGAAAAGATGTCTTGAATGTATGACAGATCGAAAGATGGGTTCGAGGTAAAAATTAAAATATCATCCACAAATAAAGCAGTTCGCAGTTCTTGTTGGCCAATTGTGATTCCATGAAGGTCAGAGTGGTAAAAAGCGAGCCAAGGGTTCCAGGGCCAGGTTGAAGAGTAAAGGGGATATAGGGCATCCCCTTGTGAAGTCAAATGGGGTTGGATATGTGACCTGCTGCTAAGACATGGGCTATTGGTGATGAGTACATGGCTTGGATCAGGTGCATGAAAGGGCCCTCAAATCCAAATTTCCGTAGTGTTAAGAAGAGCCAGTCGAAATTGACATTGTCAAAAGCCTTTTCAGCATCTAGTGAAACGATTGCTGCATCTCGGGGGGGACCATTAGCGGCCTGATTCAAGACTGATATCACCTTACGAATATTTGAAGCAGCCGAGTGACCCTGCACAAAACCCGCTTGCGAAGTATGGATAAGAGTGGGTAATATAGCGGCTAAGCGAGAGGAAACGATTTTTGATAGAAGTTTTGTGTCTAAGTTCAGGAGGGATATTGGCCGATATGATCCAGGGTCCATCGGGTCTTTATCTTTTTTGGCTATCAATTTAATGTGGGCTTGGAATCCAGAGGGGTGGTAGTCCCCTCCCCCCTGGATTGAGAGGAACACTGACTGTAAGGTAGGGGAAAGGGTTTCAGCCATGAGTTTGTAGAATTCGGCTGTATAGCCATCAAGCCCAGGGGCTTTACAGTTCTCAAGGGATTTGATGGCTAGTAAGATGTCTGATTGAGATATTGGGGCGTTCAGGGATTGGAGCGTGGTTGAGTCTAAATGCAGTAGTGAGATGTGGTCCAGAAAGGAGGTGGCCCGAGCGATGTCTATAGGGTCTGAACCAGATAGATTCTGAAAGAAATTTTCTAAAATGGTGATAATGTCATTAGGTTTTCTTTTTAATATTCCCTGGGAGTCCCTCAGGGACGCGAAGAGGGTGGATAGCATAGCCGTTCTAACAGCTTGCCTGCCTTGTTACCGAATTTATGAAAATTCAGGTCAATATGGGACTGGTACAGAGCCTCTTGAGCTGCTGCCCAAGTGTCAAATTGTTGTTTAGCATCAGACCAAGCTTTCCTATTTTCATGGGAGTTAAGATTCGCTAAATCTGTCTGTGTCTGCCATAGAAGGTGGCTTGCCTCTGAGTATTTTTGGAGAAGGTTTTTCTTGTAGGTGGAGGTGAAAGCTATGATTCTACTGCGGAGGACCGCCTTGCCTGTTTCCCAGAAGAGGTTTGGATTTGATTGGTGGGCTGCGTTTGTTTTGCAGAACTCAGACCAGGTATTGTTCAGAACCCTGAGTAAGTCCTGATTATTTGCCAGGAAAGATGGTAAGCTCCATGTCCGTGAGTGTTCGTTAGGTTGTGAGTGCTATAGGGTTATAGAGATCGGGGAGTGATCAGAGTTCGCAATGTCATGGATATTGGAGTCCGTGATGTTTTGTAGTAAGATGGGGTTGGAAAAGAGGTAATCAATTCTGGATAGGGTGTGGTGGACAGAGGAGAAGAAAGTAAAGTCCCTTCCTTCTGGATGGGCCAGACGCCAGATGTCCGTGAGTTGTAGGGCCTCTACAAAGTTGCTCAGTAATGTGTGTGATGGGGGGTGGGCGGAAGAAGGTAGGTGAGTTAGGTTAAACTATTTTGATTTGTCCTCCTGTATGTTCATACACGAGTTGAAATCTCCTCCCAAGAGAAGTGGGAGTTGCATATAGTTCGAGATTTTAGAGGACAATTCTCGGAAGAATTGCTTGGGCGGGGAGTTTGGGGCATATATGTTGGCCAGGGCCAGGGAGGAGGAGCCTAGTTTTATGTGCACAGCAACATAACGCCCCTCATTGTCTGCAGCTAGCGAGACGATGTCAGGAGAAAGTCGTTTATGTATGAGAATAAGTACTCCCGCTTTATGATTAAGTGAGGGTGAGTCTAGCACCTGACCCCACCCATAGTTTTTTAATGCCCGCAAAGTCGGATTGAGTTAAGTGTGTTTCTTGAAGAAATGCAATGTCTGATTTCAGGCGCTTGAGATGGCAGAGGATGGCCATACGTTTATTAGGTGATCTCAGGCCCTTAACATTCCATAAAACTATGCATGTCATGATAACATGATTATAAGGGTGATTGGAGAGGACTGAGAAGCATCCCTATGTGGTAATGGCTTGGTGACCTCAGCACCATTATCCAGGCTCTCTTGGTGTATTATGGGGGGCTGGGGTGTTGGGGGGTCTCCAGGTAAAAGGAGGAGAGAGAATAGAGAAAAGGGAGAGGGGGGAAGATACAGATACAGGGGTGACCCACCGGGGTCCAAAGAGTAAACAAAAATAGCAATAAACATTAAAGGAAGTTTGAGCTTTACATTATTCCGCATGTTACCGCTAATCTTTGACCAGCGTAACCGGAAATGATAGGGTGTGGAACCTGCACCGAGGGGTTGCATAGCCAGGGACAAGGAATAGAGGGAACCCCGATAGCATCATGGCCCACCAATGAGGAAGGGGTCAGCAATCCCTAGTATCGGCAGCAGCATGGTGGTCAAAACATAGTATTGGAACATGGTATACAAAACATTCTTAATTAAGAGCAAGCGGCCCTAAATAACCTGAGAACTTTATGGCTATAACAGCAGGTTAATAACAATGAAATGCAATAGAATACAATAGCGTAGGGCAGTAAATACCAATAGAAAGGTACTCGAGTGAGTTGAGCATCATCCGTCAGGGTGGTCTTTGTTTTGCCAAAGTGAAGTTGACACGTTGCCCCTTTAGTGGGTCTTTTCGCGGACTGCGTTGGTCTCTCGGGCCATTGTCTCGGGGTGTATGATGAGGATTTAAGGGCCCATGCTGTCAGATAAATTGGCTTGCAGGTATAGAAGGGCTTTGTGATGGGAGTGACTTTTGGGGGTGGGGGGACTCCTGTATCAGCTCCTCATGTTCCTCTTATGTGTAGGCACCCTGTGCCTGTTAGGGTTGCAGGGTGATCTGTCCTAATATTGTGTGTCTTGGTTTGGTGGGGTGTGGGGGGTGTTCATTGTTTAATGCCATGTGGTTGTCCCGTTGTTCTACTGTGTGTCTGGCTTGGGAGCAAACTATTATGGGTTGTATGTGT